CACTCACATCCTCCAACCTGGTCAATTTTTTTTCCTCCTCCTCTTGGGATCTTAAAAAGTGAAGAACTCATAGAATAGGGGAAGAGTACGGTGGCCCTGCCGGCGGGTGGGGAAAATGAGGCAGAACTGTAGAGAAACCATCATGCCCCTAACTGCCCACTGGAGGGGCCCACACAGCTGCAGGGACGCCTTCCAAGCTTGCTGGGCTTTTCCTTCTCTCCTCTGCAGAGACAATTAGAAAATTCACTGAAAGTGACTGACCTTCAGTGTAAATTGGGAAAACTTTTCTACAGAATATTTTGACACTGTGTTTCAAGACGCTTAAGGAGATTTATATCCTTTGGTCCATTAATTCCATTCCTATGACTCTAGCCCAAGGAATGAGAAACACAGATAAAAATGTGTAGGCAGATATGCTTATCGTTTATTTATATATTTATAATATAAAGCATAAAGGAAACAACTTGAATGTCCAGAATGAGGGAGTGGTGAAATGTACTATCATGAAGCCATAAAAAATGATGCTTAAAACTTTAAAGGTCATGTAAGCAGAGAATTCAGGATATGACACTAAATAAACAGTGTATATACCAAATACATATAGATATGTATAGGAAAATGTGGGGGGAGTATTAAAAACTTAGCAATGGTTATCTTTGGATTACAGGCGATTTAAAGCATAACAGGAGCCGGGCTCGGTGACTCAGCCTGTAATCCCGCGCCTTTGGGAGGCTGAGGTGAGTGGATTGCCTGAGCCTGCGGGTTCGAGACCTGCCTGGGCAGCTTGGAATGCTTCTCCCCGCCAGCCCCCAACCTGAGTTAATTCAGTGTAACCACAGCACCAACCATCCTGTAGAAGAGATTCTGGTTCTCACAGCACTCAGGAAAGTTCCTGGCAAATGGAAGAATATTTAAATTCCATCAGGCTATAAGTGAAAGAGCTTGAGCTCAGTGTAAGAGTGTCTGTTAGTGATTCAAGTGATTTACTGGCAAGATAAGTGGGGACACCATGAGAGAGAAGGTCAAATCCAGATGGTCAATGGAAATCCTACATTGATTCTCCTAACTAGGCGTCTGGCTGCATGGAAGCTCATAATAAAGACACCCCCTGTTGTCTGGGTGCAGTGGCTCATACCTGTTATGCTTTATTTATTTATTTATTTTTGAGTTGAAGTCTCACTCTGTCGCCCAGACTGGAGTGCAGTGGCCGCTCCCGGCCACCACAGCCTCAACCTGCTGAACCTTCCGCCTCAGTCTTCCAAGTAGCCGGAATTACAGGCATGCGCTACCAGGCCCGGCTGATTTTTTGATTTATTGTAGAGATGAGGTCTCGCTGCCCAGGCGGGTCTCGAACCCGCGGGCTCAGGCAATCCACTCACCTCAGCCTCCCAAGGCGCAGGATTACAGGCTGAGCCACCGAGCCCGGTTAAATTTTTTTTTAAGTGGGAGGGGGCTCTATATATTGCCCAGGCTGGCTTCAAACTCATGAACTCAAGTGATCCTCCTGCCTCAGCCTCCACAGTAGCTGGGATTACAGGTGGTGTGCCACCATTCTGGCTCCAAATTGGACTCTTAAACTATGGGGCAAAATGTGACCCTAGGCCTGTTTAAAATGCACAGGGCCCTATTTCACACTTATTGAATTACAGTCTCTGGAGGGGAAGCCCAGAAATCTGCACTCCAGGAGCTTGCTCTGCACAAAGAAGATTGAGAACCACTGCTTTGGGGCCAAACAACTGTGAACTATCAATATTCCTGGTTGCTCCCTTCCTCCCAGTAATATCTTGGGAGAAATCTATTCAAGCAAACCCCAAAGGGATCTTTTGCAAGGTCTCAAAGACTTAACCTTTGCATCCTCAACACCCTGGATGTTAAGACAGAGTGGGAGGCCAGCAACCCCCTATCTCCTTGCTGTTCCCAGGTATGCAGAACTTTCCTCAGCCCCTCTGCCTCACCCCACAGGGAGGGAACAGCACAACCCAGTTATGAATAGGTCCTTTCTGAGGTCTGGCAACCCAGAGAGAATGCCTTTTTGTTGGCTGCAGCAGTCAGCATGAAAGGGCAATGCTAGGTTTCAAAGCGAGACTTGTGAGTGCAAAGGGGAGATGTCAGGGCCTCAGGGAAGTGTCCTTGGCCTTCTGTCCAGGTCCAGCATTCTCTGCCATAATACACAAAAAAGCTCAACCTCAACCCTGGCCCTCAAGGGGTCGGGGTGAGGTCACAAGGCTCAGATGACTTCTTTTTCCCTGTGGGCCATCCTGAGCCTGAGTGCTGAATGAACCAAAGAAATGGGACTATTCACCAAGCAGGTGACAAAGTTGCTAGACCCATGGGTTCAGCTCCATTTTAAGTCCCAGGGGATTTGTAAAGGTTGGGGCGAGAGGACAGGGAGGAAGCTTCAGCTGGCTCACAGGTATTGTTAAATTGATCTGAAGTACTGCACTAGGAGAAGGATTCTGTGAGAATCCCAGGAAATGAATTAGCTGAATCTCATCAAGTAACAGAGGAACCTGGGAGGTAGGAAATGGCTGTGCCTTTGGATGGGTGGCAAAACCAAGAGATTTCTGGCTGGGCTTTGGTGGCTCAAGTCTGTAATCCCAGCACTTTGGCAGGTAGAAGCAAGAGCCTTGCCTGAGCCCATAGGTTTGAGACCAGCTTATGCAACATGGCAAGACCTCATTTCTACAATAAATCAAAAAAATTAGCCGGGCGTGGTGGCACATGCCTGTAGTTCCAGCTACATGGAAGACTGAAGTGAATCACCTGAACCCAGCAGGTCGAGACTGGGTTGGCTGTGAGCGTGCCACAGCACTCCAGCCTGGGCGAGTGAGACTCCAACTCAAAAAATAAAGACTTCAGAATCAAGTTATGGTATAACTTTAACCTAGGGAAAAAAAGTTGCAAAATCAACCCTCGCTGAAGGAAATGGGCTTGAAGTTCCCTGTTTTCACTGTGACTGTAAAAAGGGCTCAGTGTGCCTATTGGGTGCTTGAAAGAATTGTCCCACACAGCAGCAGCCCCAGCAGCAAGAGCTCAGCACTTCTTTTCATCATATAGGTTCTGTTCTCTCCCAGAGCTGCCTCGGTGTGTGGCTGTCTCTTCTTCAAGGACTGTGAAAACTGGATGCGCATCAGATTAGGAATCAGTTAACCATACAAGATTTGATCTGCCATTCTGGGGATAAGGTCTTAAGCCTATCACATGGCTTCGTGGTATTATGGAAAAAACAAGGACTTTGATGTCAGAAAGTTCTAGAGTTAAGTCCCTGCATTGTGTACCTCGGGTAAATTAAACTTCAGGAGCCTTGTTTCATCTCCATTGTCCTCTCAAGTACGCACAGTGACCTGCTGCATTCATCATCCTAAACCACTGTCTAAAGAACAGCAAGGAAGACAGGGAGCGCAGCTTTGACCAAGTGAACAGTACTTTCTGCCAGAGAGAGATCAGTCACTTTCCACTTCCTAAAACTGGGCTTTCACATTCACACATGGAAACATCCGCAATACATTCAGGCCCTGTGTCTGGTTCCCTCTGGCCATGTGATGAAACCAACATTGAAGCTTTCCAGGAAACAAGGCTGGTCATCAGGTTGCAGAAAACAAGCAGATAAATAATTCATCAACTCAAATCTGTGCTTCCAAAGATCACTGATAAAAATGAGCCAGCCATCCTCCAATTTCAAGAAAGCTTGGGTCTCCGGCTAAGAAATCTGCAGATGCAACTCAAGAAATTTTACCCATGTCTCGCTGTATCTAAAGATCGTGTGTGGCTGCCTAGTCTTTATTTCAAGTCGTTCTCAATAACAGAAAGGGTCTTCTCTCTTTACCCACTAGCTCAGACACAGGCCACATCCCACACCTTATTATTTCATTGGTCCTCAGAGCCTTCACAGAGGTGATTTTCTCCATTTATAACATCTTTTTTCTTCTGAACTAGTCTAGCTTTTTCTTCAACCTTCACTTCCTTTTTTTAAAAAAAATTTATTTTATTGTAGAGATGAGGTCTTGCCATGTTGCCCAGGCTGGTCTCGGACCCTTGGGCTTAGGCAATCCTCTCACCTCAGCCTCTCACCTCAGCCTCCCAAAGTGCTACGATTACAGGCATGAGCCACCGCACCCAGCTTACAAAGATAATTTTTGTAGCCTTGGCCCACTGGGCTCAGATGATCCTTCTGCTTCAGCCTTCTAAGTAGCTGGAACCAGAGGTGACTGCCACCATGCCTGGCTAATCTATTTATTGTAGAGGCGTGGTCTTGCCAAGTTGCCCAGGCTGGTCTCCAACCCCTGGGCTCAGGCAACCCTTTCCCCTCTGCCTCCCAAAGTGCTGGGATTATAGGCTTGAATCACTGCACCCAGCTCTGTGGTTTCTCATAAGAAACAGCATGGTGCCATTAAAAAAGCTAGTAATTGTTGGGTGCGGTGGCTCACACCTATAATCTCAGCACTTTGGGAGGCAGAGGCAAGAGGACTGCCTGAGCCCATGGGTTCCAGACCAGCCTCGGCAACTTGGCAAGATCTTGTCTCTACAATAGATCAAAAAATTAGCCAGGCATGGGGTGCAGGTCTGTAGCTCCAGCTTCTTGGAAGACTGAGGCAGAAGGATCGCCTGAGCCCAGCAGGTTGAGTAGTTGTGAGCGTGCCACTGCACTCCAGCCTGGGCAACAGAATGAGACTCCAAAAAAAAAAAAAAGATAGGAAATGAAGTCAAAAAACTTGTGCTCCAGTTTCAATTCTGACAGTTACTGGGTAGATGACCTTGAACTGATCACTCTCATTTACCCAGTGCCTAGTTTGTACTTGTCACTAAGCTAGATGTTGGCAACACAAATCTACTTAAAACATCCTCAGCCGGGTAAAAGTTAACTGGGTGCAGTGATTCATGCCTGTAATTCCAGCACTTTGGGAGGGTGAGGTGGGAGGATTGCTTGAGCCTAGAAGTTCGAGACCAGCCTGGGGAACATAGTGAAACCTCATCTCTACAAAAATTTAAAAAAATAATAAGCTGGATGTGGTGGCACGTGCCTGTAGTCCCGGCCACGTCGGGAGACTGAGGCAGGAGGATTTCCTGAGTCCAGAAGGTTGAGGATGCAGTGAGCTGTGACTGTACCACTGCACTCCAACCTGGGCAACAGAGTAAGACCTCAACTAAAACAACACACAAACACAAATTCTGTTCTTAAGGAATTCATAATCAGTAGTATAGACAGACAGGTATGCATCTAATATACAGTGATAAATGCAATGATACAAGATTTACACCAGATATTATGGGAACTCAGAGGTGAGACCTAACAGATCAGAGCTGGAAATAGAACTCAGAACACTCCAGGAGGTGTCCCTGAGTTCCTAAAAGATGAGTAGGAGCCAGCACAGCAAAGGGGCAGTAGCATATTCCAGACAAGAGGTCCCAACGAGGGATAAAGGCAGACTCAAGGTCAATGCTATTGGCATAGAAGTTCAAAGGGTGGGAGGATACGACTTAGAGGGGCCAGGTCATGGGGTTTTGGGTTACATTTAATAGCTTGGACTTGATCTTGTTAGTCAGTGGTTGCCAACAAGCATGCTACAGTACACTGTTGTATTATAAATTCATTACAAGTGTGCTGCCAAAGCTTGATCAGTGTGTAAAATGTGTGTGCGTGGGTATACATATATGAATTAAACCAGATATAAATGAATTAAACTTGAATCAGCTAGCAAATAAGCAAATGGCAAGAGGCATAGAATAAAATCAGTCAAGAGTCAAAGACTGTGTTTTTAGTAAAACATGTTAAGCTCTTTGTTTTGTTGCTATGTAAACATGTGAGCCAGTATGGTGGCTCATGCCTGTAATCCCAGCATGTTGGGAGGCAGAGGTGAGAGGATTGCCTGGGTCCAGGGGTTCGAGACCAGCCTAGGCAACTTGGCGAGACCTCTCCTCTACAATAAAATCAAAACAATTAGCTGGGCATGGTGGCACGTCTGTAGTTCCAGCTACTTGGAAGGCTGAGGTGGAACCATCACCTGGGCCCCAGCAGGTCAATACTGCAGTGGCTGTGAGTATGCCACTACACTACAGCCTCGACAGAGTGAGACTCCAACTCAAAAATAAGCTGGGCACAGTGGCTCAAGCCTGTAATCCCAGCACTTTGGGAGGCCAAGGCAAGAGGATTCCCTGAGCTCAGGGGTTTGAGACCAGCTAGGACAACTTAGTGAGATCTCATCTCTACAATAAAACAAAAAATAATCCGGGCGTGGTAGCGCGTGCCTGTAGTTCCAGTTATTTGGAAGGCTGAGGCAGAAGGATTGCCTGAGCCCAACAGGTCAAGACTGCAGTGGCTATGAGCATGCCACTGCACTCCAGCCTGGGCGACAGAGTGAGATTCCAACTCAAAAAAAAAAAAATGTGTGGCTGGGTTAGGATTTCGTTCCAGCCAAGGCTGGTGAAATATAGAGATAAGTTCTTCTGTTGGTTTGTCTTTTTCCCCCCCAAATACACAGGCTAGTGAGGGAGATTTTTCTTTCTTTCACATCACTCTCTTGTCTTGGCCAGTGAAGAGGTTCACATGGGGTAATTCGGATAGTCAAGCATAGCCTTGGGCCCAGGTTGCTTTCCCTGCTGCTATGTGACCTGCAAACAGCTGACAGAGAGAAGGCCTCTAGAGGTGTGGGTGGAGAGGAACTTGGTGTGGTGAGATATGGGGGAAGGGCAATTAGAAAAACAAATACTTCCATTCAGTATCTTCAAATGTATTTCCTCCTATAGGGGAAAACCATTTTAATCCAGTAGTATCACTGTGGTGAGGAGTGAGTGATAAAGTGAGTAATTCAAAAAACATACAAACTTTTGGCTGCCAAGGAACGTTATACTGGCTTATGAATTCACTGTGATGACTGCTGGCCTGGTGGTTGGCAGTGGTAGTCATCAGGATAGGTCCTGCTGGGCCAACTGAGTAACCGGCCCTTGTTCTAGTCTCATAGCTCTAAACAAAAGCGTGCTTGAAGGTGAGGGTGATAACAAAGTCCATGCTCAAGGTTCAAGTCCTGCTCTCTGTAGGCACTCTGTATTATGCTAGACTGATGGCATTCACCCAGTTCAAACAAGGTAATCCACAGTACACATCCAGACTATCCCACCTGCAAAGCCGTCCCAGTCTTATGTAAGTGGACACCAAGAGAGGCAGTTGTGCTCTCTGAAGGTCTGACACCCTCCTCTGACATTTCCATCGGCAGTCATGGCCTCCCACATGGACGCTGGCAACTCCTGTCTACTTTAGTTGTTTTTCTGCCATATATGGGGGTGCCAAAAAAAGTATACATACTTTTAGAGATGTTATCTACGTATTACTTTTCAAAGTTGAATTGACTTTTGGTAGAAATGTGTAGTATGATGTGCACTCAACTGTGCTTCCACCATTTTCTTTGACTGTCCTGCCTGTCGCATGGTGACACTAGCATTCATTTGATTAACACCATCTTTTGAACAAATGTCATACCTAAAATGTGTACATTTTCAGCACTCCTATATATTGATACACATTCACGTTTCCTTCAGATTTTAAATTCACTTACTCAAGTGGTGTCTTCCTGTGAATCTAAGCTTACCGATATGTTAATAGAGTAGCTAACCAGTATTTGAAGTCCTTAGGGTATTCCACCAAACATTCTTGCCCCATGAACAACGCATTTTAATTCTACTGCTGGTTTTAAGGTAGGAGGCAACATGGCCAGACAATGTACTTGGCTTTTTTTCTTGAGTTGGAGTCTCACTGTCACCCAGGCTGGAGCGTAGTGGTGTGCTCATGGCCACCGCAGCCTCGACCTCCTGGGCTCAGGCGATCCTTCTGCCTCAGTCTTCCAAGTAGCTGGGACTAAAGGCGTGTACCACCACACCTGGCTAATTTTTTGATTTACTGTAGAGATGAGGTCTCGCCAAGTTGCCCAGCTGGTCTTGAACCCATGGGCTCAGGCAATCCTCTCACCTCGGCCTCCCAAGGTGCTGGAATTATAGGCATGAGTCACTGTGCCCAGCCTGACAATGTACTTTAAATAATCGAATAATTCTTGTGATCATGTGAAGAATAGAATTGAAAAGGAATACAGTGACTAAAGAAAGGCTGAAGGAAGTCGTTATCGTGGTCCAGGAGGGAAGCCTGTCACTTCGTTCCTAGGACCTTCAACTGAAAGGAATGTATCTGTCATGAACTCAGTAAGTCAAAATCTAGAACCAAAATCATGCTCCAGGTTGAATGAGTAGTGGCAAAGGCAAGGAATTTGACGTCAGGTAAATCTGAGTTCAAATCCCAGCTCAACCATTTAAATTACATGGTTGATCTTGACAAGATACAATACTTCTTGGGCCTCTCAGCCAACAGGAAAATAGGAATGCACCTACATAAAGTGCCTAGGAGGTTAACAGACGGTAAATATTATACAGAGGTGCAATTCATTTGAAGCACTCCAGTTGAAGCTGGGACAATACTAGAAAGAGATGGGGAATTTAGTGTGAGGAATGGAGAAACATGGAAACTGGTACATCCCAAATGAAATTCTAAAGATTGAAATTAAGAAGGGTCAAAAGTTCAGTTTACATCGAAGAGTTGTTTTTAACTGCTAGATATTCTTGACCAATCTGAAAAGTTTCATTTGCTAATTTTCCCATTTATCTACTTGGGATTCCTTACACTTACTCATCCCACCCTACCATCCTATGTGCCCAAGATAAGTGACAAGAGGAAGTTTGGTACATTCGGTTCTGCTGAAAAGCAGTAGGATGACCTAAGTATCTAATTTCCTTATGATAATGTGGGGAAAAAACTATCCCTTCTTTTTTACATTGAAATCCAAACTATGATAAAGGAGACAAAGACAGCAGCAAGTTTGAGCGAAATGTTTACATTTATATTGAAATATACACTAAAACAGAATGAGTTCTACTAGTCAATGGAACTTTGCCAAAGCAGAATCACAAACTTCCACTGGGAAGGTCCAGTCAGCTAGCAGCAGTGACCCCAAGTAGGAACACCAAGGAGAAGCCTGGAGACCCCTCTCCAATAAGACTCCCTTCAAGAGGCCCCAACTCACTTCTCCCACATGCACCCACACAGCTTTAGGAGCCTGGACATGCTCCTCGTTTTCATATATTTTTAGTTTCTTCTTCACTGCAATAAATATAAAATTGGCAATGCTCATACACCACAGCACAGACAAAATTTCAGGCTTTAGTATACAACTGTAAACAGTGACTAGGTTAAAAAAAATAAGAAAAAAAGTTGAAAAAACAATGAGACAGTATACTTAAGAGCAGGGCATGAGCTACTCAAGATTTGTTTTGTTATGTTAAAGATTTTGATAAAGGGTTCATTAGACAATGCCCTCAACAGTACAAATCGACCCAAGGTGGTAGGCAGAGCACTGCCTATGGCAATCTAGAATATGTGAACAGGAAAACCACCGGCCCTCGATCACCCTTGGCAGTACATCTTCAACTTGCCATATTCGAAATATGGTCACAGTCATCTTTACAGTTCCATCACAGGCTGCCATCTAGTGTAGCAGGAATGTGTTGGCGAAGGAATTACAATTTGCTGGGAGAGGAACAGAATGATATCTCTGCTAGCTGCCTGGAAAGTTGGCTCCTTAATCACAATGACAACTAGGACATTTCACTTGGACAGTGCATTAAATTTATAGATTGAAAAAAAAGTACAAAGACTAAGCAGTAAGTTCTGTCACTGAAGCAACCTGGGATATCAATCAAGAAAAATAGATGAACACTTTTTGCCTAAAGCAGTGCAAAGAAATCTGGCAAGAAATGCAACTGAACTCAGTATCTGCACATTAGTAATGGGGCAGAATTTTATGTAAAAGGCTAGTGGTTCAAATACTATTGCTTGAATAGCTCTGGTAGATATAAAATGTAGTAACACCTGAGGTTAATACATTAAGCAAAGGAGCTGAATCTCAACTCGCAAAGAGCATTTGATCCTCCATCAAGAGAGAAGCTAAAAGCGCATGCTGTAGGAGTAACCTAGTAGGTTAACTTGGACCACACTCCCACCCTCTGACAAACAGAAAAAGACCTGGCTAGGAAACTGTCTCTCCACACACACAATTCTGGCTTAATTCTCCTTCCTATACAACTATACCTTACCTAAGAACAAACCTGTCTTGAAAAACTCAAGAACCTGGGCTACTAAAAAATAAAAAGGAAATTTTAATATAGTAAACAAGTTTAGTAAATACCATGTGTATTTTCTGTTAATGAAGACATGATACATTCAAAAAAGTATTTGAAAAAAGCAAAAACAAAAATATTTCCAGAAAGAGGCTCGCCAAGAAAAAAATCAGCCCAAGTTCTTCTATCCCTCTCAATCAGCAGTGGGTCTTAGCACAAACCAGCAGCCCCTCCTCCAACACACAAAAGCACTGCCATGTGCCTTGCAAGAAGAACACATACGTACACCTTACTTATTGAATCTGAACATTAAGCAAAATCACTGCAGAGCACACTTTGATGGGTTACTTCAATACCCACCTGGTCCAGTTCAAAATATGTTCGTAGATCCAGTTTGTTGAAATTCCACAGGCATACTGAACAATAAGTCATCTATTATACTATTATTTTTTTTAAGTGGCAGTTTTGATAGCTCAAGCAAACATTATTACAAAGCACTCTCTTGAAAGAAATTCTCAGATGAAGATACATTAATGAGAAACTTTAAAAGTTAAACAAACCTAGTCCATTTTACTAAAATGGTGAAGGGAGGGTAGAACATCTATTCTGAAGAGCAGCTTCACTTGTTTCCCCATGGGAAAAGGCCAAATTTTTTGGACTGATATAATTTTAAAAACTAAGCCAATAAAAAAATAAAATATTACCTTAAGATATTATAAAACTTGAAATAATGTCAGGTGTTATGGAATGGATTCTTTCCAAAAAAAGGAAACTCCAACAGGTTTTAAGAGAAAAACAAATAAACCAGAACTCTGAATATGGATAGTAAGACACAGACTCTATAGCACAGAACACCACACAAGAATGAGTTCTATATTCATATAATGAGAGTAACTGGCTGGGGACTTATATTTCCAGCAAAAGAGCTCCTAGGTCAAAATCGTGTTGAAAGCTGGTAATGTCAACCAGGACCAAAAAAAAAAAAAAAAAAGAGAGAGAGAGAGAGAAAGAGAAAGTAGGAAAGGGGAGGAAAGGCTGCATGCATGGGTCTATTATAGACATGATATTCAGCAGCATAAAAATAATACCCTCCAGAGTCCCCCAAATGGGGCAAAACTTGCTAAGCATGAGAAAGATTAAGAAAGTGGAACAAACTCACTTGTAACTACAGCATCTCCCATATTTGAATGACAAGCAAGTTCAATCTGATGCTACATGTTAGGAAAATATTGAGGATTTATATGAATAAAGCAAAATAAAAACAAAAGACTGAAGTATGAACCATAAAAGTTGAAAAAAAATCTGTTTTAAAGCCAAGTAGGTGTGATTCTGATAATTACTATATATGACATAATCCATAGAAAGAAAGGCCAAGAAAAGAATCTTCATATTGTTCCATACTTAAGCTTGATGTTGTCCTAGAAAAAGCAGTGATAATCCAATGAATGTGTCACACATACAACTAAAAAGTCCCCTCTGGTTTCAAATGAATTTAAACAATCTTCCTTGGCTACATTTTCTCCTGTGTCAAACAAACCTTCTATGTACAGGACCAGTTTAAATCCCTCCTCCCCTTCAAACACTAGATAAGAACATCCAGGAACATCCTACAATGCAAAGTGCCTTAAGAAAGAGAAGGGTTCTGTAGTGCCAGTGATACAACTGATCTGAGGAAGCAGGGGTGCTATTAACACTGATGGGAGCCAGTCAGGCAATGGTGGTTTGTTTCTCCTCAGGTGTTTCCTCCAACAACTGCATGATCAGTTCATGGAGGGGTTTGCAGATCTTTGCGTAGCCCCCTCCTGTGAGATGCAGAAAATCAAACATGTCGTGGCAGGAGATGGCACCGTCCGAGTGCACGAAGCCCCCATCTATATCCAGGAGCTGTACATTGGCAAGCTTCGGCAGGGAAACCTTGAGAAGTTGGTTCACCTTGGCATTCTTTTGCCTCAAAGGGTTGGGCTTCTCACCTCGAGGTAACAAACCCTGGGGCAGAGCAGAGAACAGAGCACATTCACTTGTTTTTCTCTACTTATTAATGAAGATACATTAATGAGAAACTTTAAAAGTTAAACAAGCCTAGTCCATTTTACTAAAATGGTGAAGTATCTGATTTCAGATACTCCCGGAATACCTATTCCATTTGGCCTTTCTACCCCTTTGAATTCTGAAACAATGGAATAAATAGGCTTTAATGAAAACCATTTCTTCTTTGTTTCTTCATGGGTTCCTCTCCTTTCTCCTATCCCTTAATTGTTGGTATTCTTCAGGGATCTGTCCTTGGCTACTACTCTTCTCATTCTGATCTCTCATTCTCTAGAGCTTCATAATTACCTGACTAGATGTACCTGAAACATTCCCAGCTTAACGTGTCCAAAAGCACTTCATAAACTACACTCCTTCTCTTTATCAGCTGGTCATTCAAAAATTCCCAAGTCTCTCATCCCACATGGCTTATCTATTTATCATTAAACCACTCAGCTTTTGCATCCAATATATTTCTTTAATCCCCTTTCTTTTCTCCATCCTGATTATACACACTGCTACACCTTGTGACCTTATCACCACTCACCTGAATTAACATAAAATCTCCTGACTGAAATTCCTACCTTCACTAGTCTTCCCTTCAATCCATTCTCCATTTGGCTATCAGAGTAAACTAGTCCAAACACATACCTATATATTAGCCACATGAAACCTACACCATAAAATATCATGAGAAAGAAGGTTGGAATGAACGCTCTCTTGATAAATCAGAGCCACATAATATCTGTGTCCTAAAACAGAGATGTGTCCTAAACTCATCTTTTTTTTTTTTTGGAGTCGGAGTCTCACTCTGTCACCCAGACTGGAGTGCAGTGGCACGCTCCCGGCCACCGCAGCCTCGACCTGCTGGGCTCCGGCAATCCTTCCACCTCAGCCTTTCAAGTAGCTGGAACTACAAGTGCGCGCTACCACGTCCGGCTCATTTTGATTTATTGTAGAGATGAGGTCTAGCCAAGTTGCCCAGGCGGGTCTCGAACCCGCAGGCTCAGGCAATCCACTCACCTCGGCCTCCCAAAGTGCTGGGATTACAGACCGAGCCACCAAGCCCGGCTACCTCTATGTTAATAATCTAATAAAATTTTCAGATAAAGTAGATGTCTATGCTCCTAACATAGTAAAGAAAAGTGGCCAGGTGTGGTGGCTCATGTCTGTTATCCCGGTATTTTGGGAAGGTTGAGGTAGGAAGATTGCTTGAGCCCAGGAGTTTGAGACCAGCTTGGGCAAAATAGTAAAACATTGTTTCTACAAAAAAATTAAAAAATTAGCTGAGCATGGTGGTGCTTGCTTGTAGTCTCATCTACTGGTGAGGCTGAGGCAGAAAGATTGCCTGAGCCCAGGAGATCGAGGCTGCCATGAGCTGCGCTCCAGCCTGGGAAACAGTGAAACTGAAACTCAAAAAAAAAAAAAAAACAAGGAAAAAAACCCCACAAACTCTTCTACCTAAAAGTTCTCTATATTCAACACACTTCTAAAAAGATTCCTCAGCTGACCTAAAAACATCAAAGTGACTACCCACCAAAGACTACATACCAAAACAATGATTTTGGCCTGTGGCTGCCTTGTGTTGATAAGTTGTACGATGGCCTCGATCCCACCTGCTACCTCTTCTGCTGTATTTTCATGGTTGTTTGTTCCTACCCAGACAACAATGACCTGTAATCAAAGAAAGAAAACATCCAAGAATAAAGGAATGCCCAACATTTAGATACAAATTTTATTTCAAAAAAGCAAAAAAGGAAAGACAAATTTCTCAAATGATTTTGGATAACAGTAACTGGGTAGCTTAGCAGTGAACGTTATATACCAACTCTAGTGATACTAATGTTAATAAGTTCTGATAACTCAGTCGAATGCGGTGGCACAAGCCTGTAGTCCCAGCATTTTGGGAGCCCGTGGGTTCGAGACCAGTCTGGGCAACAAGGTGAGACCTCGGCTCAACAATAAATCAAAAAATTAGCCAGGTGTGGTAGAGCATGCCTATAGTTCCAGCTACTTGGAAGGCTGACGCGGAAGGAACACCTGAGTCCAGAAGGTCAACACTGGGGTGGCCACGAGCATGCCACTGCACTCCAGCCTGGGCGATGGAGTGAGACTCCAACTTAAAAAAAAAAAAAAGTTCTCATAACTCACTACCATTGGAGCAGCCTGGGCAACTATCTTAATGTACTGATTTATTCTTCATATCATATATCGGGATAAATTCCGAGTGGATTAATACTCAAGTGACAATATTGTACTAGGAGGAAACAAGAGAGAATTCTATGATTATGAAGTAGGAAACTAATCTCTCAAAATCCAAAAACTATACAAAGGATTCATAAATTAAACTAAAAAAAACAAACAAAAAAAAACTTTCTGCACGTAAAACACATACTAAAGTGGAATCTAAGGAACCTAGGAGAAAATATTTGCAACTCACATCATAAACATTTTGTCTCCGGGCCAGGTGTGGTGGCTCATACCTGTAATCCCAGCACTTTGGGAGGCAGAGACAAGTGGATTGCCTGAGTCCAGGGGTTCGAGACCAGCCTAGGCAAATTGGCGAGACCTCGTCTCTACAATAAAAAAATTAGCTGGGCATGGTGATGTGTGCCTGTGGTTCCAGTTGTTGGAAGGCTGAGGCAGAAGAATCATCTGAACCCAGCAGGTCAAGGCTGTGGTAGCCATAACTGTGGCACCGCACTCCAGCCTGGGCAACACAATGAGACTCGAACTCAAAACAAAACAAAAAAATCACTGAAATGGAGAGTGGATGCAGTTTTTTTGTGATCCTTTCACTTTAGCCTTCCAAGTAGCTGGAACCACAGATGTGCGCCACCATGCCTAGCTAATTTTTTTGATTTACTGTAGAGATGAGGTCTCACCATGTTGCCTCGAACCCATGGGCTCAGGCAATCCTTTTGCCTCTGCCTCCCAAAGTGCTAAGATTACAGGCATGAGCTACTGTGCCCAGCTGGATGTAGTTTTAACAAATTTTTCTCTTAAAAAAAAATTATTTTACAAGGTGGCTGTTACTTGGAGACACATATCTTATTATATGACTCCAACAAAGTAACCTTCCACTCTGTCCCAAAAGAAATCCACAGGGCTGAAGGGCAAAGAATAAAATACTTTCAACAGAAGAAATTTTTATCAGTGGCTCGATTTTTTTTTTAGGGGGAGTTGAAAAAAATTACATTCAATGTGCCAATCTGGGACACTTACAATGTGATAAGGTACTAGGTACGGATGTTCATTTGTTCACAACTGCTTCAAATTTTCTTATGAAGAATGTGAAGGCCCAGATTACTAATTTGTTTATATGATTAGACAGATCCAAAACTACATCTTGAAGTGAATCATGACCCTGCTCCCATGGCCCACCACTGAACAGTTTCACCCTAATACTGTCCAGGTCCATGCATTCCACAGAATAGCATACCTCATTACTATTCAATCTTTTTATGCAATGGAAGAAGATAATTATAACAATTACAAATACAAACTCAGGCAAACAATACAATCCAAGTGAATAACATTTAATATATTAATATGCATTATTTTTAAAATATATATGTTGGTATATTCTTAAGTAATAACATAACTGAAGAGGCATGAAGCAAAGAGCAAAAGTAAAACAGGGCTTTAAAAAAGCAATGTTTATTTACTGCCAGTTTCAGACAATTGAACTATTTGAAAAAGTTAAAGATTAATGATATTCTTTTAAAAATAAGTTCACCCAGCAGGTCGATGTGCTGGGGTGGCAATGAGTGTGCCACTGCATTCCAGCCTGGGCAACAGAGTGAGACT